CTCCTTGCACAAATACTTTTGTCATGTAAATAGAAGTTGTTGAGGATGATAAGGAGAAACCATAGCAACCAAAACCACTTTCAAATCTTGAGAATTGAGGGAGATATGCCCTTGTGATCAATGAAACCAAAGACTTGTCGAACTAGGTCAAACTTCTTCAATCAACCCTTGTACCTTTGAACTATTTTTGACAACTTGAGACATGATGAACCATAATAGACTTTGTCATGATATTATTTTAAAATATCTTCAATAATGAAGCTTGAATCTCAATGAAGCTTTGTTGAAGAAGGTATGAAAATAAACTCATGAACCTATGGATCAACTTGATGGAATGTATTGTGCTTTCACCTATGATATCAACAATTAGAGAAAATATTCATTGTACTTATTAGTAAAAAGTTAATCAATACAAAACATAGATGATCACAAAATACAAGTCAAGGTGTTTGGTGATTCCCCATGGACAAACCTAAAGATGAGATGAAGAACCAAACCCTAGTGTGTGATCTTTTTGTGATTGAATCGATATGATATGATAGAGGAATCTTAGGGGTAAAAATTGGGATACAACAGTAACACCTCAAAGCGGAGAGAAAATGTTATCAATCACAAGTAACTCACAAAGAAAGAAGAGTCTTCTCCACCTGAGATCCCAAACCAGATCTCTATTTCCCACATGCAAATCTCTTCCACCAACCCATCAGGTTGGATAAGATTAGAAAGCACATTAGGATGATGATTCTTTAAAGGTATGAATCCTAACCAATAATCATTCCAAAATAAAACCTAGAGACCCAATCCAACTTTCTTTATAATCAACAAACCATTCACAAAGGTCGTCTTCATTAGACCTATGAAAAAACAAATTTTTCCACCAAGAAAAATCTGATCAATTATCTAATTATCTGATGTCCTCCCTCTAAAAAGGGAAACAACTAAAGCAACATATTTAGCAACAAGAATATCACATTATATTATAATAAAATTATACATACTAATAATTTATATTATTAATCATAAAAAATTTAAAAAATTATAAAGTACTTAAATATTTTAAAATTAGTCAATAAAAAAGAGATAATATTTTACTAGATCTTAAAATTGTAAAACTATGTAAGCTTAGTCACTCGCTTTATTTTAGTATTTTAAAATGATCATTGAAAGCCATCACTGAGTCATAGCAAGAGGTGCCACTGTTAACATTGATTTGATACATGTTTATGTTAGCTTGTGTTTATGTTACATGGTTACCATCTCATAAATTTTTTGTTAAAAAAATCTATTATTGTCAACAGTAAGAAAACATTCTAAAACTACTTTTTTTAAAGGCATAAATTTGTTGGTTTCCTAAAACACAATTTGAGATGAGTCATAAAACATATTTCACTTAAAATGACATGGATTCAATTCAATGTCTATCACAACGGTAGCAATCTTCTTGGGGGTATTACTATAGAGGGCAATTTGTGGATCAATAAAAATTGTTTATAACTTAAAATTTATGCGAGTTTTAAATGAAAAAACTTCTCTTTTTTATTATTATTATTATTATTATTATTATTATTATTATTATTATTATTATTATTATTATTATTATTATTATTATTATTATTATTATTATTATTATTATTATTATTACTATTATTATTACTATTATTACTATTATTATTATTATTATTATTATTACTATTATTACTATTACTACTATTATTACTACTATTACTATTACTACTATTATTATTATTATTACTACTACTACTATTACTACTACTATTATTACTACTATTACTATTACTACTACTACTATTACTACTACTATTATTACTACTACTACTATTACTACTACTACTATTACTACTACTATTATTAGTATTATTATTATTATTATTATTATTATTATTACTATTATTAGTATTATTATTATTATTATTATTATTATTATTATTATTATTATTATTATTATTATTATTATTATTATTATTATTATTATTATTATTATTATTATTATTATTATTATTATTATTATTATTATTATTATTATTATTATTATTATTATTATTATTATTATTATTATTATTATTATTATTATTATTATTATTATTATTATTATTATTATTATTATTATTATTATTATTATTATTATTATTATTATTATTATTATTATTATTATTATTATTATTATTATTATTATTATTATTATTATTATTATTATTATTATTATTATTATTATTATTATTATTATTATTATTATTATTATTATTATTATTATTATTATTATTATTATTATTATTATTATTATTATTATTATTATTATTATTATTATTATTATTATTATTATTATTATTATTATTATTATTATTATTATTATTATTATTATTATTATTATTATTATTATTATTATTATTATTATTATTATTATTATTATTATTATTATTATTATTATTATTATTATTATTATTATTATTATTATTATTATTATTATTATTATTATTATTATTATTATTATTATTATTATTATTATTATTATTATTATTATTATTATTATTATTATTATTATTATTATTATTATTATTATTATTATTATTATTATTATTATTATTATTATTATTATTATTATTATTATTATTATTATTATTATTATTATTATTATTATTATTATTATTATTATTATTATTATTATTATTATTATTATTATTATTATTATTATTATTATTATTATTATTATTATTATTATTATTATTATTATTATTATTATTATTATTATTATTATTATTATTATTATTATTATTATTATTATTATTATTATTATTATTATTATTATTATTATTATTATTATTATTATTATTATTATTATTATTATTATTATTATTATTATTATTATTATTATTATTATTATTATTATTATTATTATTATTATTATTATTATTATTATTATTATTATTATTATTATTATTATTATTATTATTATTATTATTATTATTATTATTATTATTATTATTATTATTATTATTATTATTATTATTATTATTATTATTATTATTATTATTATTATTATTATTATTATTATTATTATTATTATTATTGTTCTTATTATTATTATTCTTATTATTATTATTCTTATTATTATTGTTCTTATTATTATTATGGTTATTATTATTCTTATTATTATTATTGTTATTATTATTATTGTTATTATTATTATTGGTTATTATTGTTATTATTGTTATTATTATTGTTATTGTTATTATTATTGTTATTATTATTGGTTATTATTGTTATTATTGTTATTATTATTGTTATTATTGTTATTATTATTGTTATTGTTGTTATTATTATTATTATTATTATTATTATTATTATTATTATTATTATTATTATTATTTTAAAACAGCAAAAATTCCAAATTTTCATCTGTATCTTCTAAAGAAAAGATTAACAAAAGATTATAAATCTTTGTTATAAAATTATCGACACATTTGTAAACAAAAATTATTCCATGCATGTTTGGTATTTGGATTTTTTTATTCAATTAGAACTATCATAAAAAACGAAAAGACGTAAGATAAAAAAAAGGAGGGCTAGGTCTAATTTCTCAATTAATTGAAACGGTAACTAGGAAGACTGATTCTATCCTTTATAAATGCACCTCTAGCTACTAGAGGATTCCTTCTTGAAAGACAAGCGTTGAAGAAGTTCATTATTGTTGTCGTAACTGATAAAAAAATAACGATTCAATATTATTATTTTTTTGTCCTAACGACAGGTGAATAATATAATAATCTTAAATATATAGAGATTTTAAGTTCTTGATTCACTTTAGACGAATGAAAGATGTTAAGTACCCTTCATTTACCTTGTCTTTAAGGATGCCTCAAATTTAGGTTTAATGGTAAGATAAAGTTTCAGAGTTAATTTGTGAAAAGGATTTTAATATTTTAATTAGGGGAACTCGCATTGGTTTTTAAGTCGAGTGTCTACGTATCCTCTTATGAGGAATTAGAGTCTTAATTCGTAATTCGAAGTGTTTGGTTGTATTTTTTATAGATCGTGGAAATCTATTAGATTCTCATTGAACCAAGTATGAGTTTAAAAATAGCGGAATCGTAGATGCAGTTCGCAGTTAATATAAAATATTTCCACATTTTTGAAAATATATTAAATATTATGTTAGTAGAAAAATGATTAGTATTTGATTGGTTAACTATTTTAGAGTGTATGCAATGTGAGAAAATAAATTTGAATGGAAAAAATAGAAGTTTAATGTAATTATAAAAATAGAGTTAGTGTTTTAAAAAATAATTAATTAACAACTTATTAATTTTTAATTATTAAAAATATATTAAATATTTTTAATAAAAAAATCCAATAATTATTTATTAATAATTATGCAAATTATTTAATGCAAAATAATGTTAAAATGATATAAGAAAATAAATTAGATATAAATATAAAACAAATAAATTAAATTAATTAATTAATAACATCAGAAAATAATTGATTTGCGCAGGGGGTGCATATTTAACTTGATAGTAATTTTAGAGTGGTGGATTCCGCAATGGACTAAGCCCAAATTCAATTTGAGTCCAAATGATGGTGGGGGGTGTTTAATTGCAGCTGGAGAAAGTAAATAAAAAATAAAGACGGGTGAATAGCGTATGGGCTTAGGCCTAGAGAGAAATTGGAGATGGTCTGTTTGGGATCAATGCGATAAGTTCTACGGGGCTATCGCGGTTGCGCAGGATTTGGGCCATTAATCTTGATCAGAAGGGCAGAGAGTGAGGGTACACCGTAAGGGAGTGCACATAATTACAGTGCAGTAATCTCATCCCATGGCCAGGTGATGGTCACGTGTTGCCACAAAACAACAGATGGAGGGAGAGTATAACATAATTTTTTCTCATATTTTGTTTCATTTTTCTCAAACATTCATCTCTCTTCTTGTTTCTCTCCGTCCCTCCTCTTTCTTTTCCAGACGCCCTATGTCTTCTCCATTCTTCCTATAACTTCTTCTTCCTTCTCCATCCACCACCAAACATCAACTTAAACCGCCGTGGACGGGCGATCTTTGGTTGAAGATCAACCAAAGAATCCAAGCCTTCAAACACCATAGACCCAGAAATCCAGATTGCACAATAACCCAAAAAAACCTAATCAATCTAACACAAACAACAAATATATCCAAATCGAAAATCTAAGTAGCTTACCTCGTCGGGCGTGAACTCCCGAGCTTTCGATCTCTCTGATATTTGTATCCCCTCCTCGAATCTCTTCTTTTTTCTTTGATTCGCAGTAATAAGAAGCGACAGAGATGATGGAAACGACGACGTAGCAAAGGGTTGGTAAATATAGGGTTTCAGTATTGAAACCCATATTTCAAACAGTGATGTTGGCCATGGGATCGCGGTTGAAGATCCAAGCTACAGGGGCTTACGATCTGCCTTCTTCTTCTTCTTTTCTTCTTTAGAATTTTTTCCGGTCCTTGATTAGGTTTAGAAATCAGGTATTTATAGATTTTGTTACATTCGAATTAGGAATTTTTAGTGTAATTGTTGTTACAATTTTAGATTTAGAGTTGATTTCTGAAATTGATTGTAATTGATTCAAATTTTAGATGATTTTCTACTATAATTGAGTTGATTTTGTAATATGATTTGATTCTATTGGATTTTTGAAGATTTGATTTAGTAAGAATTTGATTCGTTTCAATTTTTGTGTTATGGGTTATTGGACGTTGCTTAACGACGCAGACGAAGAACTGGGTCTTGCTTAGCGTAGAATTAGGATTGAAGAAGATTAATAGGACAACCGTCGTGGAAATTAGGGTTTTGTTGCCCCCTGTTGACTTGGTCAACATGTCCCAAAAAATAATATTTGGTTTTTTTTCTTAAAAAAACTAATAATAAATAATAATAATAATAATAATAATAATAATATAATAATAATAATACTAATAATAATAATAATATTGATAATGATAGAACATGTAATAATTAAATGTTTAATAATAATAAATATAATTAAATAACCAGAATCAAGAGTTGACTCTGGTCAACTTTAATGAAAATGGATGGGCCTATGAGATACACCCCTTTATTATTTTAAAAAGGACCTTTAGAAAACTCTAATGGGCCTATTCGATTAAAAAATGAAGTAATAAGTTCTAAAAATACCCCCCCTGTTTTTGAACGGACCTTAACTTTAATCAGCCTCTCTGAAAAAGCACACCCTTTTTATATTTACACCCTCATCGTATCTAAACAAAAAAATTGAAATGAACAAAAATAATCTAAACGTATATTCTACTTTTTAAACAAAGAATATGATAACAATAAAAACCAATGACTAAAAGAATAGATTGGTTAGGAATCAGTAGGGAAAATTTAGGGTATGACAACTGCCCCTATTTAATTACTCTTCGATTGAAGTGTGCAAGAATATGAAGATCTCGCATATTCGAATTGGAGGGTTATTAAATAACAGAGGACCCCAAAATTTGACCAAAAGGATTATAAAATACGGATATACTCTAAAGTATACCCAAGAGAACCGAAAAATAGGCAAGGATGATGCGGCCATCCCACCAATATCTGAGTAAAAGAGTATAGTAGACCTAGATACGATGATGCAAATAACTCGTCAACACCTAGAAAAGAGTAGTCGTAGATTTTGTGTATTCACCGTAACCTAGGAGATAAATAATACAATTTTGAATATTGATAACTTATTGCTTTATTGAGACTGATGCAACAAGCTATATCACAATTATATAGTATTTACCACGACCTAGAGTGTAAATAACATTGATTTTGAAAGTTGACCTGCTAACGCTTAGAGACTAACATAGTAAGCTTAACGCAGATTTCATATAATCATCGCAACCTAGGGGATGAATAAAACAAAGTTTATAATCCATTACCGTATGAAGACTAACACAATTAATTATATCACAGAAAACAGATAACTTATTGCTGCTTTGAGACTAACGCAATGAGTTATGTCGTAAACCTTGTATATCTACTACGACCTAGGGATTAAATGATACGAGTTGAAAATATCTTACTAACGCTTAGAGACTAACATAGTAAGGTATGACGCAGACTTGTGCATTTATCATGATCTAGAGGATAAATAACACATACTTAATAATTCATTATCTCTTAGAGACTAACATAATGAACTATATCACAAATTTTTATGTACCTACCACAACCTAGGGGGTAGCTAACACGAGTTTGAAAATATAACTTACTAAGGCATTGAGACTAACATAGTAAGCTATGTCGCAGATTTGCATATTTATCACATCCTAAATAATGTGTATTTGAAGTTTGAAAAGTGTTTTGATTTTTAATACTAAATCTTAGATAACTAAACCAAAGATATAAATCACAGATATACCAGTTGTGTCTATTCTCAACTAAGGTGTTTATTTATCTTGCGTAGATAAGCTAATTTATAATAGGCCCTAAGATATGTCACATTATTTCTGGCCTAAGTAGATTTGAAAATGCCATACATAATGTATATACACAATACCCTAAATTGATAGATACCCGAATGAGTTGTTTGTATATGCACCAAATATTTCGTATGTACATGCACCAAGTGTTTTATGAATGCTTTTTTTTATATTTTCCTCTGTTTAAACCATTGGGTTTTCTAAGTCACCAACTCCCCAACGTTGCTTGTTGTTTCTCCGTGGCATCTCCAAGTTGATTTGAATTCTGATATATCATGGTGAACATTGTCAACAAGATATTGATAATAGAATCGTAGGCGTGGATTTTATTTCTACGTTTTTCTAACTAAAATGCTTTTTGATGTTTTTATCCAATGTTCTTATTTGTTTTGTCGAACCCCCTAGATGATCTCAATGTTGTATTTACAAAAGATAATCGTAGTATTTTGCAAACAAGTCCAAAAAGGAAAAAACACAATTGAAAGATTGAAAATTAATTCGTTTTATTGATAAAGATGCCTTAAAATAAGAGAGAGTACAAGATACAATTGCTAGAAAGAGGTAATTACAGAAAGTTTCTAACAAAATTTTGAAAATGGCAATGAAAATGATAATCGCTACTGTTGTTTCTCCAATGTCCTTTTGATAAGTCCAATCTCCTTCGCTTCTGAGTCAGATGATTCACATTAACCCTTCTCCTTCAAGGTCGTGGTGGTGAATTTTCGAATCGCAATTTATTTGTTCTTTATTTTGAGTAAGATCCCTTACTTTTGCATGGACGGCCCTTTCGGGTTTTCTATCCACCGGGGTAATTTTTTTTGTTTAGGTCCCTAATTTTTGTTTGGACCACCCTTTCTGGTTTTCAATCCACCGTGATGCCCCTTTTTCCTAAGTCATCTATTAAGGTTCGACTTAGCGGGTTTTTTATACATAGTATTTTCTGAATGCGTCAGAGATTGTCGGACGCGGTAATTCTTCCTCATCCATTATTGCGAGGATAATACCACCACTCAAAAATGTTATTTTAACCACATATGGACCTTCGCAGTTAGGTGTCCATTTACCACGTGAATCAAGGAGATGTAGTAGAATCTTCTTGAGCACCAAATCTCCTTCTTTGAACACTCAAGGACGAACCTTCTTGTCAAATGCCTTCTTCATCCGCTTTTGGTACCACTGACTGTGACACAGAGTCGTTAAGCCTTTTTCTTCAATGAGGTTGAGTTGATCAAGTGGTTCCTGAACCCACTCTGTTTCTTCAAGCTTGGTTTCCATTAGAACTCGTAGTGAGGGAATCTCCACTTCAATGGGGAGTACAACCTCCATGTCATACACAAAAGAGAAAGCAGTTGCCCCTGTGTTCTTTAGACCGAAAGGCATCACTTTGTAATAGAAGGTGCCCCAAGGAGTCCTGAAAGTAGTCTTTTCCATATCCTCGGGTGGCATTTTGATCTGATTATAACTTGAGAAGCCATCCATGAACAAAAATACCAAAGCTTGAGTTGTATTATCCACCAAAATATCTAAATATGGTAATGGGAAATCGTCTTTGGGACTTACTTTGTTCAGATATCAATATTCTACATGCATATGCACTCTACCATCCTTCTTGGGAACTAGAACAATGTTAGTTATCCAAGGTGGATAGTCTACCACGGCTAGGAACTCGGTATCAAATTATTTAAGGACCTCTTCTCGAATCTTGTCAGACATGTCTGGACGAGTTCTTCGAAGCTTCTGTCTAACTGGAGAATAACCTTCTTTGAGAGGTATTCTATGCACTAGAATATATGTATCCAATCCTGGCATATCTCTGTAAGACCAGGATATCCACATACTCACGTAAAAGTTTGATCAGCCTTTCTTTGATGCTTTCCTCCAAATTTGCCCATATCTTAACCTCTTCCAAATCTTTTTTGTGCCAAGGTTGATGATATCAATAGATTATTGGTATGGTTATATATTGTCATCTTTTTTCTCTAACACCCTCTCCAATTCTTCGAAGAGTTCAAGATCTTCTTCATCTTACTCTTCAGTTTGGTTAATCGGTGCATCAACGTTATATCAGATAACAGCAGTAACATTATCGCTTGTTTTAGATGTGGATTTGAACATTTTATCATGTTTTGGTGAAGCTTAGAATGTGAATTTGAAAAAAATGCATATAAAGAAAAGTATTGCCATTTTTTAAAAGGAAAGGGATAAATGCAAGAGAAAGACAAAAATCATAACTGGATGCAAAACAAAACTCTTATTTAATTAAAAATACTGTTTGAAACAAATGGGGGACCTTACAAGCTCCCCCTATGCCCCGAGCTTGACATAAGTTCTTCTAAAAACATAAAAATTACTTTCGAAAGAAAAATATCTCTAGAACCTCCACATGTCCAATTCTTGAGTCTTTCGCCTGGAGCACATTCACAGATGAAGTTAGATGCTCATTTGATGTTGCTTTGGTAGGATACCATTGCTACTTGTTCACCATGTTCTACTCCTTTATTGACGAAGGTTTCCTAGATGAGAGGAAACTGCTCTTTGATCTCTCCGTGGCCAGTAACTACTTTAATTGCATTCACAGTCGGACCACCATGTGGAGGCATATGATTTGTCTTGATATTAGGCTTGTCAAAAGTGATATCTTGGGAATCCAACAAATATTGAACCTTATGTCTGAAAGCCCAACATTTTTCTATGGTATGCCCCAAAGAATTGGCATGATACTCGTACCTTGCATTGGCATCATATTTTGGCGGGAGAGCCCCAATTGGAGGAGCTAGTGGCTTCAACTCCACCAAAGATGCTTTGAGTGAGTGCTGCAGTAACTGACTGTGAGGCATGGGGAGAGGATCAAATCTTCTTGGAGGCCCTTCAAACCTGTTTTTTTATTTTTGTTCTCGTGGAATTACCAATG